AAAACTATGGAGAGGTTCAATTTCCCTACTTTGGATATTACTAGAGTCAGTCACTTCTGTTTTGCAGTATCTGCCAAAGATGTTCTTGAATTTTCTCTATTTTATTCTAGGTCATATAAAAGTGGGTCTGGAGTAAACAACAGAAGAACTGAACTATTTTTGAAAGAACATGACCACCTTCGAAAGTAAGTATTATTGTATACATACATACCATGCAGCTTCCCATACTTACTAATTCCTTTATTGACATAACAAACATTTTTTGTTTTTTATAGCAAGTGTTTTATCAGATTACTTAAAATCTTAAAAAATTTGCTTATCTCATGAGTGAAAAAATAATTTGGACTTGTGTTTATTTGATTACTATTTATTTGATATTTTATCATTAACTATATTTTCATATATCTATTTTTCAGAAAATTGCCTGTTATCTTTTGTCTATTGTTCTATTGGGTGGCTCGACTTTGTTATTAATAAGAGTTTTATATAGGGTGTTTTTTAATCCTTTATATTGCAAGCATGTATATATATACATACATATATAGTATGCATATTACATATAAGCATACTTACATAAAAGTGTATATGTTTTTTTTTATTTTGAAGATTTTATTTATTATTTGACAGAGAGAGAGAGATAGCGAGAGCAGGAACACAAGCAGGGGGAGTGGGAGAGGCAGAAGCAGGCTCTCCTCTGAGCAGGGAGCCCTATGCGGGGCTCGATCCCAGGACCCTGGGATCATGACCTGAGCCGAAGGCAGACGCTTAACGACTGAGCCACCCAGGCGCCCCAAAAATGTATAGGCTTATATGTAGTATACATGTATATATATAAAATAATCTCTTGAGCTATCTGAGCTTTGTTTATGATATTTTGTTTCACTGAAATTTTTAAATTTTAATTGTCAAATCTGCTCTTCTGGGTCTTGTGACTTGTTTACATAAAGCTTACCTATCACCAGATTATAAAAATATTTTATATTTTAGTACTTTTATAATCTTGTTTAAATTTACATTTCTAATCCATCTGTAATACGGTTTTATGTATGGTATGATATAGAACTCTTTTTTGCTAAATGGTTAGTGAGTTCTCTCCATGCCATTTATTGAATGGTTCATCCTTTTCCCTCTTGGAATCTTATTAAGTTCCCCTGTTTGTCTACTTCTGACTCTCTGGTTTAAGTACTACTGGCTAATAATCTCCAGCTAAATGTATATTCTGTTACCAAGATCCAAATCACTAGTACTCAATCAAATGTGACTGGAAAAACTGTTTCCTGGCTACCTTCCATATAGCAAGGTGTTTCCTAGTAAGGTGGCTTGGGGAAAATGTAGTCTTACTCCCACTCCGTTCTTATTTTTCAAAACCTTCTTGGCTATTGAGCTTTTTTTTTTTTTTAATCTGCTCATCAGTTTTTTGGATACCAAAAAATATCTATTTTAAGTATATAATTCTCTGGGTCTTGACAAATGTATGTAGTTGTGTAACCACTATCAAAACCACAATGTTGAATGTTTCTATCATTTCTAAAATTTCCTTCATTTTCCTCTGCAGTCAATCCCTTCCCCCAATGCTTGGACCCTAGAGATTATTGATCTGCTTTCTGTCACCATTTTTGCCTTTTCTAGAGTACATAATAAAAAGAACGACTCAGTATGTAATCTTTTGTGCCCATCTTCTTAAACTTAGCATAATATGCTTAAAATAAATCTATATTGTTTAATGTGTCACTAGTTTGTTTCTTTTTACTGTTGAGTCGTTCTCCATTGTGTGGATATTGAGTATTATCTATTCATTCACCAGTTGATGGGCCACATTGGATGTTGTAGTGTTTGGTTATTATGGATAAGTTGCTAAGGCTATTTGAGTAAAAGTCTTTGAACATAGGTTTTCATTTTTCTGGGGGTAAACACCTACAAGTGGGATTG